TCTTTTCTTTTTCTGTGTGAAATAAATAATTTTAATTTTTTTTTTCTTAAGAAAAGTTAATATTTTACATTTTTTGAGTTGTTTTAAGAATTATTTATTATTTTTAAATAGTATTTTAATTCATAACCACGTCACAGTGATTATGGCATGCAAGTTTTAAATCTTGTTGAATTAAGAAATATCTATCATTAAATTGTATCACAAGTGGAAAGTAGGATTTTGTTTTGCTACGATAATTAATTGTATTATTTATTTCGTTTTGTTAATTATAGGTTTCTGAGTCAGTTTGTATGTATCTTGACTAATCTTAATAGGTATTTTATATTTTCTCTAAAATAGCATAGTTGTTACAGATGTTTTTAAGGCTGGAAAAATCCCTAATAGCCCTATGGATTTCGAACCTGTGACCTCTGAGTCTAAGGAGGATCCTCAAAGGCCCAAAGGTTTATTGTCGATTGAGGTAACCTCATAAGTTTTCAGATTCAAACTCTTTATAACTATGAATTATGACAAAAGTAATCAAATGCAAATTTTTTAAGACGGGAATTTTAATGATTTCTAAATGTTAATATCATTCATCGTCTTTACTAACCCAAATGTTCATCAATTTCATTTGGTTTTTACCTATTCATCTGACTCAACCTGTATTGGGCATGATTAGAAGCTACCAATGAATTATCTCTAGCGGAAACTGTAACAATGAAAATGGCACCTTCCTTAGTGAGATTATACGAGTAAATGCCTGAACTGGGGGCCACTATGCAAAAAACGAGAGAAACCCCATCGTTATAAATAAATTTATATAAATAAGCGTTCAAACACGGTAAAAACACCATGGAGTACATCTTTCACTTTGGAATGATTTAGGAATATGTTTAGCATTGCATTATTACTGGAATACCCTTCCTTGAAGCTTATATCAATATTTCAAGTGGTTGTATGTAGGGGTGTTCGATGTCCTTTTTGGGCGGTTTAATTCCCCAAACCATAAACCGGCAATAGCGGTTTAGGAAATTTTCAAACCAAGCGGTTTGGTAGCAATTAACCAAACCATATCACAAAAAAGCGGTCTTGTTTGACCGATTTAGACGGTTTGGGCCTCTTATGAAATTTAAACTAAAAAAAACATAACATCTATATCTAAAATCAAATTTATACTAATATAACATTGTTAAAAAACCATTATACATAATTATAAAAGAAACGTTTATCTCTAAGATTCAAAAAACATTGAGCAAATTAAAGAAAAAATTAAACAAGTCCACCAACAATAGTTGGAATTTTAGACGAAGATTAAGCAAGTCGAAAAATGATATGAAATTTGGGATTTTATTTTTGATGGATTTCTGGATTTTGTATATTTGATAACGCGATCAATTGAGAAATGAAAACTAAATTTAGGATTTTTTTTACCTCAAACTCAACATTAAAACACTAAAAATAATGAAAAAACGTTGAAAACTATATTTGGATTAATAAAGTAGGCCTATATATAGGGTTGGGTTCACGTGAGACCCAGAGTTTTTCGTGAAACCTCTAAAACTTTACATACAAGGTGATAGATATGTTTTCAATCCCATTTTATTTTTACTACAAATAAAGAGTAAAAGCATAACTTTACATACAAGGTGATGATATGCCAATGGAGGATTGTTTGGCAAGAGAGAGGGCTAGGTGAGGCGGATTTGTGGTTGCAACGACGAAGGTGAGATTAGGATTTAAAACGTTAGACGATACTATTTATTACGTTGGATGAAGATGAAAAGATGGAGATGATGTGGCGGTGCAACATGAAGATGATGTAGGTGGGGCTGGGAATGGATCATGCAGACGCAGAGGGCCCATTGTGCTTGGTGGTTGCGGCCGAGTTTGCAGTCGCCAACCGGAGGTGGCGATGGGATAGAGGTAGGGACCATTGGGTTTAGGGATAGATAAGACATAGATAAGTTGGATTTAGGGAGCGAGTTTTTTTTTAAATGTTGTAGAAGCTTTTGTACATTTGCTTTTGATATATTGTTTAAAAGACCATAATGCCCCTCACGTGAGAGGCATGTGAGTATCTGACCGTTCTTAATAATGATCTTAAATGGTCGTTAGAATCGAGAGACCAAAATCAAAAGGGAATGTAAACCATAAAACATGTTTATTTAAATCGAGTGACAAAAATCAAAATTTCCGTATGCACAAGATGTTATTTTATAATTTATTGAAGATCTTTTATCAAATCGATTAAATAATAATCTTAATGATTAATACATTATAATTTGTTAAAATGTTTAAAAAAGTGTAAGGGGGTGTTTGGGAAGGCTTTTCAAACTGACTTATTAACTTATTTCAGTTTGGTACCGGAGATAAGCCATTCTGGAGTGTTTGGGTAAAAAAAAAAAAAAGTGCTTATACCGGTACCAAACCGGTAATAAGTAGTTTTTGATAAGTTAATCCTTTGTGACTTATGAAAATTGACTTATTACCGGTTTACCATTTTACCCCTGTTCCCACATCTGTATCRTCTTCTCCGATCGATCCCTTCTATCACAGTACGTCAACAGTTCATCGATCCCTTCCATCACGTCTTCTCCACCTCTTCTCCAGGTACGTCTTCTCCGATCGATCTCTTCTCCGATCGATCTC